GGGGCCTTACTAATTAGAGGGGCAGATTATACCATATTATAATCATAAGAAACCCCAAAACCCTATTCAAGTTATTACAGCCCCTACATAGTCGGTTGGCAAAGCGGCCCATATAGGGGGCATTAGGGGGCGTTCTAAATGGCTGGCCTTGCACCAGGCATCGAAGGTCTGCGTTATGTAGCGTGTATTAGTGGCAGATGCTTAAAATTTGGTATTATGTCAAGGTTTGAAGCTCCTAACGCTCGCAATCACCCTGCAGCTCAGGTGAAGATCCGTGCTGAGGACGGCCGATCTGTCAAAAGTGCGGACATTTCTCCGTCACTTTGCGATAATTGCGCTTTACTACATTTTGTGCTGCAGCCCCAAACCGTGCGAAAGCGGTTGCCGTGAGGAAAATCCGTGTTCCAATAAACTTATAGCTCCAGGAGTTCTATGGACCTGGATACGTACCTGACCTCTGCTCTTGTGGCTTTGAGTTTGAGGTTCATCAACAACTTGCCGTTCGGCAAGCAGACGCAGCAATTTAGCACTGGAGACGCCTCGGGATCGACGTCGCAGGCTTGTGGGCTGACCGATTCCTCCAACAATCTGGGGTGGGAGCCGTTTAGCTCGATCAAACAAAGTGGTCCTTGACCATATGTGCTCCTAACCTCAGTCTATATTAATGCATTTGGGCGTGAGGGGTGAAATGTCCCGTCCTAACAGGAAAGTACAGTTCTCTTCACTTCCAGGCCGCCAACATCGTCGAAGCATTAGAGGTCGGATGTACAACCCTCCTGGCTGCTCGGCTGCCCTTGTTTGCGAGCTTTGCTCGACTCCTTCGGGCTTCATTCACTGACCTTTAGCCGGCGGAATTGTTGGATGCACATGATCGAAGGCACTGCTGCATTGCTGACGTTATTGCAGACGTCTTCTTGCACATGTGTTCTCGCCAGAAGCTATCGGCTGTCCAACCTCTCAGTCTTCCGGTGTTTAGGGTTTAGACCTTGCAAAGCAGACTCTCCTTTGATGTACGTAAATACATTCATGCAAGAGAGAGAGAGAGAGAGAGAGAGAGAGAGAGAGAGAGAGAGAGAGAGAGAGAGAGAGAGAGAGAGAGAGAGAGAGAGAGAGAGAGAGAGAGAGAGAGAGAGAGAGAGAGAGAGAGAGAGAGAGAGAGAGAAAGAGAAAGAGAGAGAGAGAGAGAGAGAAAGAGAGCGAGAGAGAGAGAGAGAGAGAGCGAGCGCGAGGGAGGGAGGGAGGGAGGGAGGGAGGGAGAGAGAAAGAAGGAAAGAGGGCGAGCAAGATGGATGGTGTTTTCCTTGGTTTGCGACATCGCAAGACACAATGCTGGGCTTGAGGACCTGGGACATCTCTGTATAGGTTGATATGTTGGCTCTCGTCATGTTCCTATTGCTCAGGAGCAAGGTGTTGAGTTTTCACTTCAGTCGTTCAGTCGCAGGTGTAAATGTAAATATCCTATGGTTTTCTAATGTCCTCGTCACACAGACCTCAAAGCCATTCGTGTACTTGCCGGCGTATGTTGGCCAGCCACTCCACCACATCACGAGCTCTTGCTTGCGAGTCCAGCGCCTAGTTGTAAATCTCCACAATCTGTCCTGGCTCTTGGAGCATAGGATTAGGACAGTTTGCCTTTGTCTCCTGCTCGCACATGCGTGCTCAGTATCCGGATAGTCCACAGACGGTATATGGGAGTTTCCGAAAATAGGGGCCCCTAAGAAAGTACCCTAACAGGATCCTTATTAATAAGGACCCCCAATATAGGTTCCCCTAATGTTGGAAAAACTTCCATATTACAACTGGGCGCACCCTAATAACCAAACCAGAGACCCAGAGCCTGAGGCCCCGAAGAGTTTTTTCCCGTGGTCATCGCGCGGGGTGGCACTCCAAGGTCGACGAAGATACTTGTGCGACCAACTTCATGATTCGGGATGAGAAGATGAAGGCTGGGAGAGGGGTACGGTATTCTGCGCCGTCCCTGAAACCCCAAACCCAGTAAACCCTAAACCCGTTACCTCGCCCCCGCTCCCAACAAAGAAAAGAACCTCAACTAGGATGCCCAGTAGTACCCTTATTCCCTTTTTGTAGTCCTAGGTTCCGTATAAAGTTACCCAATACCAAAAAGAGAGGCCTTTTTATTATAAGGTTGCTGGGTATCCTAGTCAACTATGCAGGCGCTCGTGGCCCCGGACAAGGAGCCAATCACTGCCTTCGTTTGCAAAGTCCGATCGCTGCTGGAGGAGCAAGGAGTTTCCACAGCGACTCGGCATCGGGTCGAACGGGCCTGTAGGAATCAGGACTTCGTCTTCTGCTTGACTAGATGAATATGTACCGAAGGAATATGTAAAAAGGAGGTACTTTTTGTGTTGCCGAGGGGGAATGGCTGATTAAAAAGGCATGGGTACACCTGCAAAGGCTCCGAGTTGTGATTCTGACTTTCATGTTCGCTTATACCATGGACTCATCCGACAATTCGGATACTCGTTTGTGGCATGGCGCCAGCGCAATCCGTGAGCGCTGACGGCCTTCGGAAGTCAGACACCTGAGATCATGAGTTTCATTTCTACATCATACAGTGCTGTCGATCGTCTCGCAATGGCTCCGGAAAAGGGAGTGCAGCTATACATCTCCCAAGGTCCTAGTGGTTGGTGGAAGTGGAGATTTCTTCAGCGTGGCAGACTCCGTGATCATGATGGACGAGACTCTTGTCTGAATTTGGCACGGCCCTTCGGACTACACCGTACCAACTTGAACTGTTGGGTTAGCTGGGGAAGCTTCTCCTCCGTTGCCGCCTCCGGCGTGCTTGTGGCCCTCTGGCACCATGAGGACAAGTATATATTCAACCCACGAACCCTAGGGATCAAAATGGCCCAAAAGCCTTGTATAGTGTGATCTTTGGGCCCAAAAGCCTTAATATATGAGTCCTTAGATCCCTAGAGGAACTTAGCAACCTGCCTTGTGGTGACGGTTCCCCTGACCAGGTATGTCGCAAAGGATGTCACAAAGAGGGCACGAGAGATCGGGCAAAAGCACCCCGGCGGCAATCGGTAGTGGGTGGCTAATATAGGGGCCTTAGTAATTAGAATAGGGTTTTGGGGCCCATTATACTGTACTTATCATAAGGAACCCCCAAAAAATATAGGTAATTATTAAGGCCCATATATTACATTATTAGATGCAGACAAGATTGTGTCCAGGGTGACCCTGTCTTCCTCATGTTGAGCTTTATCAGGCCTCAACGAGCCTGATTCCCACTTTTATTGTGTAGAATTGTGTAGATGGGAGAAACATCTTGAGTTTCATCCCTTTGTGCAGATCGGCGCCACCGACGCAGGCGGCGTTTGGCAAGGCCACCAAGTGGATTTGGAGCCCTTTGGGGTAGTGCAAACAGAGCTCTGGGGTCTTTTGTGCCCTTTGTGGGTGATGTATTTCAGACGTATGCCAGGTCATGGTGTAGAGCCTCAAGTATACTGTTTCTGGGCTTTGGAGGAGGTAGGCTTTGCGTTCAGCAAATTTGTGATGTGACATGACGTTTCTCCGAGCTGACTTTGTCAACCGGAATAGTGTGGTGGGGTTCCTGCGACTGGACTTGACAGTTCATATATTCGGATCGAGAACACAGAAGCATCAAGCAGAGCAAGCACGCCAAGAGTCATCGAGTCGCAGAGCCAGCCGGCTGCGACATCTCGTGCAAGTAGCTGGCTAGCTTAGCCAAACAGTGCCACCGGTCCACTGCATTTTGTGGAATACTGCAGCCTAAACCCTAAACCGTTAAACCCTAAACCCTTTTACAATTTCGAAGATCGCCCGGCGGCGGCTGCAGCCAAACGGCTTGGCTGCGGATGGCAAGGTGGCTGCCCGAAGCTTAAGGCAGGTCCGCGAGTTGTCGTGCTTCAGATTTTGGAGTTGCGTGAGCCTGTCTTGTATGCACATATATACATATATCATATATATATATATACAGAGACATGAGAGACAGAGAGAGAGAGAGAGAGAGAGAGAGCGAGAGAGAGAGCGAGAGAGAGCGAGAGAGAGCGAGAGAGAGCGAGAGAGAGCGAGAGAGAGAGAGAGAGAGAGAGAGAGAGACCAAGAGAGATCGATCTCCCCGTGCACGTGACTGTTTGCATGTATGCATGCATGAATGCTGCCAGTTATGTATATATGCATGCCTGTATCAGCACCCTCGAGTGCAAGTGCATGCTCGGCTCTACTTACAGGCCGTTTGCTTGAATGCAGGATGTGTTTTGCTCTGATGTTGGTTGCTGCACTAGGTTTTCCGACCCATGTACTACATACTTTCGTATGGTATCAGCGCAGTATAGGCCCAGACCGCAGACGGGAAGATCGAAGATTACGTAGCGGTATAGTGCGCTCCACAGTACAGTCCGCAGCAACAAAGTACAGTGATTCAGTGACCCCAATGTGCAGTACTCTGCATAGTCTCGCAGAAAGATTCCTCTCGTTGTTGTCGACCGGCGGTCTGGAGTTGAGTTCGCACTCTCTTTTCCAGTCCGACACGGGTTAGACAAATCTATGATGCAATTGTGCGCGTGAGCTGTGCCGATACCAGCATAGACACTGGATGCACAAGTTGCCCAACTGCTTCGAGGGCATGAGCGGACCTGCTACCCGGGAGAGCGAGGGTCTGCATCATGAGAAGCCAATCATGATGCAATGATGAACCATCGTAATTAATAGCATCGGCATAACAGTAGAAGAGTGATGACTCTACTTAGCTCATAGTGGCACCTGGCTCCTGCTTCGGATGCCTTGCCTGCAGGTGTATTCAATATGGCGAGACGGAGGCACGAGAGAAGTGTTGCTAGGACTTTGCGGCTGTATGCCATGCCCCAGCGTTTCCCTCCCAACGTCTACAAAGCTCTCTAATCGACAGGTTGTGTTTCGAACTACTTCTCGATTGAACCTGTGCATGCTGAGAACATTCCCTCAGAATGCTGTTGTTGTTCCACTCGCAGGCCTCTAAATCGGGGTCCTGAGACATGAGCTGGGATAACAGCGAAGTGACGAGCTCACTTTCCTATTTTCGCGTCACTAGATTTCTGAAACAACCCTCAAAAAGACGAAAAAACACGCCTCACAAAGGCAACCCCAAAAGCCCAAGTGCAGAAAGAACGAGGTCGAGCTTAGCTGCGTGGAGCAGCTCGTGGAGATCAGCCAAGCGCGGGCGTTTCTGGGCTTTAAAGCTTAAGCGAGTTCAATCGTCTTTCGAGCAAGCATCATGCCATAGGCTGGCTTGGGGCCAATACCGGCCGGAGGTCTGGAGAAAGCTAGCTTTTTACTCCAACTTCACCCTCATGAACCTGCATCGCCTGGATGTCCGAGAAGCCTTGAAACCAAACCGAGAGCAACTCTAAAACTTGAGCCCTAAACTAGTGAGGTTGAACCGACACTAGGATGCAAAACAAACCTCCACAGTCTTGGGCTTTGTTTCGCAAAATATCATAAGGAACCCGAAGGAATGGCATTGCGAGTTGTTTTTAGGCTTCTATAGAACCCTTCTAAACCCTAAACCCCTAAACCCTAAACCGAAACCCTAAACCCCTGAACCCTAAACCCTAAGCTCCTAAACCCTAAGCCCTAAACCACTAAACTCCGTAGAGTCGCAGCAGTGATTGATCTAGCGAGGATCGGCGACGCACTGCAACTTCTCGGCGATGGCCGCCTGCTTGGCATGTAGCCTTGTATCCTAAGGACTTCTTCTTGTCACTTTCATTGCTACAAAAAGAACATAGAATTTGTTTACTAAGTACTGATAGTAGTTTGATTAAAGCTTTTTCTTCTTATTGTTATGATCTTTGTAATCGCTGTGGCTACTGTTATTATGATTGTCTTATTGCTACCATCATCAGCAGTATTCTTATTGGTGCACTTATTCGGTTTGCAAGAAGCTGCTGAGTCCTGGCGTCTAGGTCTTACTTGGAGGTTCAGGGGCAGTTAGAAGTGGGCTAAAAAGTGCCTTTTTCTGGGTTAAAAGTATAGTTACCCCACTTACAACTCTACTTATAAGTACCCATGAACCTCCAGCTAGGCCCAACCCTATACTATACCCTTACAGAATCCCTATAGATCCCTTTAAAGGGACCCTTCTAAGTACCCACTTGGACGGTCGGGGGACTTAGTAACTGGTTATTTTAGGGACTTATAAGTACCATAACCCCAATTAGGGTCCCTTTTAGGGTACTTATAAGTCTACTTACTACCTACTTACTAAGCCCTAAACCCTAAACCCTATAGTATCCTTATAGGGCACTTTAGAGGAACTAAGTCCCCTAAAGACCCTCCAAACATGAACCTCCAGGTGGGGTTTTAGCATCTTAAGCGAGCCGACGTCTGCTGCGTCCCAGCAGACTTCGGCTCTCAACAAGGGTTTCATCATAGGGACCCTTAGGGGGGTTTAGGGTGTAGGGTTTAGGGTCCCTAACACTTAGGGGGGTTTAAGGTGTAGGGTTTAGGGTCCCTAACACTTAGGGGGGTTTAGGGTGTAGGGTTTAGGGTCCCTAACACTTAGGGGGGTTTAGGGTGTAGGGTTTAGGGTTGGGTTTCATCATAGGGACCCTTAGCTTACTTTTGGTTAGTGGGGACTGGAGGAATGGGGTACCATTCTTCCATCCCTTACTAACCAAAGGTAAGTTAGGGGGGTGGGGGTAGGGGGCTAGGGGACTATATTTCCTTAAACAGGCCGGATTAAGTCCTTATGATAGGCATTTAGGTCCCTTACCTCCCCCCCCCCTTCCCCTCCTAAGGGTCCCCATGGGTTTCAGGCACAGGTCATTCGGCTTAGGGCCTGGGGCTTCAGGCCCAGGCCACTTATAGCGTTGCTAACTAGACTGTTTTACTTACCATGTCATGTTAAAGGTCCTGGATATGTTATTGACTGTGTTGAATGTATGACAGAGATCATGTACTTCCGAGTCCGCTTGAGCACAAGATATGAAAGCCAGACTCGGATTGCTGTGCTTGACTAGCCCCAAACCCACAGCCTCTCCACCGCGATAAATCTAAACCTGTACCTTTGCAGTTACTGCCCTTCTGCGCAGGGCTTCTGCAGAAGTTGATTACCAGATTACGGACAAGAAAAGCATGCGGGAGGCTCTCCAAATCCTACTGCAACCCATAACCCTCAGCGCCGAAGACCCAAAATCATGAACTCCTAAACTTCCCAGGCCACCTTGTGAAGGGGGGACGGCCGCTCACGAGTGTCTCTCCGGCGGCAAAGGGTATCTCAGGACGTGCCCAGAGACTCCAATATCCCTTAATTGAGGAATATTCCTTAAATCATATTAAGGATCCTACTATAATTTAAGGTATATTCCTTAATTAGGGCGTTGTGGTTTTATCTTTTGGGTTTAATTGGGGTATATCTAGACCCCCCAACTACCCTCGAATGCACCCCAAATACCTACAATCAAGGGCCTTTCGGGCTCCATCAGAGGGCCATTGGGGGGTCCTGGTAGGGATTATAGTAATGGTTATCGGGTTAAAAGGTGTTGGGTTTTTCTCAGGGTTCCCAGCCTATAGAGAGGGCTTCTGAGATGTTCGGACTTAGATTGGAGTTTGGTTTTTGTGTTGCTTGTTGGAGATACCGACTAAGTTGCTACCTCTAAGGTTCAGGGTACCTCTGAGGTTCAGGGCTCTAGGCTCGGGTTTAGTTTGCTCAGAACCCGGAACATTCCAAACGTATACCTATCCTGAGCATGTACGAAGTTTCGGGGCGCAAGGTCGCGCGTGCTTTTCCTCGAAGTCGCGTCCCAGTGGAGCTTCTCAGGTTTAAGGTTGAGGGGTTAGCTCGACACTTCTAATTGCTTGCTATTCGGGAAGAGGATCAAGGCAAACGCAGATGCGGGACTCGTGCGCATCTCTCAGGTCTTGAGCGACCTCGAACAACAAATCCATGCAGAGGGAAAGCCTGTCGGAGAACAAGGCAGGCTTGCGTTTTAGAGGTCGGTTGTAGGCTTGAGTTCTGGCCGCTTTATGATGATTGTGCCGTTTCGACCATAGGCCCTTACCCAGAGAGTCCATACATATTACCATTCTGGAAGTAGGTCCCAAAAGGCCATCCTCAGTATGGTTTTTGCGACCTAACTCTAATTCTATAATAGTAGCGTATATGGAGCCTCTTGGTTAGTAACACTTACGCCTTAGATTCTGTTGGCCGTCGGTACAAGGTCTGGGACTTCTGTCATGGCTAGATTTAGGATTTCGTTTTGCTTCGCGATTCCCAGGTTTTCACTTGATTCAGTCGAAAGTCCTCATGACATCAGACCCGGATTCATGAACTAAGCTTCTCAAACTGTCCGCGTCCAAGTGCTCGTCAACTATGTAGAGGGTTGAGGGCGCGGAAGTTTTTGCACCAGATCCGAACAGCATTTTGCTTCAGTCATGGCGTTTATCGCTGTGCAGCGCAGTGTAGTGTCAGCAGATAGAAGTTGGCACTGAGAACTTAGTACGTTGAACTCAGAAAATAGTAGTAGTAGTAGTAGTAGTAGTAGTAGTAGTAGTAGTAGTAGTAGTAGTAGTAGTAGTAGTAGTAGTAGTAGTAGTAGTAGTAGTAGTAGTAGTAGTAGTAGTAGTAGTAGTAGTAGTAGTAGTAGTAGTTGTTGTTGTTGTTGTTGTTGTTGTTGTTGTTGTTGTTGTTGTTGTTGTTGTTGTTGTTGTTGTTGTTGTAGTAGTTGTAGTAGTTGTAGTAGTTGGCTGTACTGAGAAGTAGCCAGTAGTAGGAAGTAGTGGGGCCTAGCTGGGATGAGGTAGCAGTAGATGGTGGTAGGATGTGGAAGTAGGTGGCAGTATGCGGTAGTACGTGGACAGTGTAGTTTAAAAGGTTCTAAGTGGGCAGTCGGCAATAAGTACTAGGAACAGGTACCTACTAAGTAGTGGGTACAGGAACAGGCAGAGGGTAAGGGGAAGTAGGTAGTATGTTTCAGGCAGCATGCCGCAAGCAAGTCACCACAAATCCATTGCTTTCAGCAAGTCCGAAAGCCTGACCCCCTTATCCTAGTAGTAGAGTATAGGTAACCTTTAACCTTTTTTGGGTAGCATAGTCCCTACATAATCCTTAGATACCAAAAAGGTTAACCCTTAGTTCCCCATGATACCCGACAAGTAGGTAATTAATTATCAAGCCCGCTTAATGAATTACCACTACCAGTCCCCAGAGTTCTTCTCACACTTATCCATCGTATACGTACAGCACAGCCCAATGCCTTCCTCCAAACATTGATGTCCGCAAACTAAACCCTTGCGAGATTCTTGATGATGGCACGGCAGAGAGAGATAGAGAGAAAGAGAGAGAGAACTAAACCCTTGGACCCCTCACAACAACCCTTGAAAGGCGCCTGTTTTCGGAACCTTTTTCTGTTTGACATGCTCCGACCCTAAACAGGTAGACTTAAACCCCAAACCCGGAAAAGGGGCGCTCACAAAAACAAACTGTGGAATCGGAGCGGCATACCGCCTTAGGATGTATATGGTCTTAGATTGGGTTCGGGTGTCGCTATTTGTGTAAGCTCTCAGTCACTGCTCCTCCTGCAGGGTGCGAGTGTGAGAGTCAAGGACATGCTGCGTTGGTCGTGTGTGGACGTCGAAACCCTACAATACAAATATTGAAATCCTAAACCCTAAGCCCCCAAGCCCTTCAAATTGTTGGCCGCGAAAACACGGACCATAAAGAGCTGAAGCTTATTCAAAGGCCCCAAAGTAGTAGTTCCCCTTGGGGTTCATATATAGAATCCTATAGGGTAATCCCAAAAAGGAACTACTTTGGGGGCTCTGGGTATCCTGAACTCTAAAGGGTCCTTTCTATCTCCTGGTCTCGCCTCGGAGGCCTAGATTCATTGAGCCGCTTTCGGGAGCCGTGCCCCTTTTATGCGGCTTGGCTGAGTCACCTTAGGTCTATCCGGGTTTAGGGTTTAATGTAGGGACCTGATTAAGTATAACCGCAAAATGGTAGGATTCATATATATATATATGTATATATATATATATATGTATATATATATATATAAGGAACCGCAATAAAGGCCCAAGCGGTTTCTTAATCAGGTTCCAACATTAGGGTTCAGAGGTCAGGTTTTAGGATGTGCCTGGCTTAGGCCCTACGGGTCGTGAGATGTCGTGAGGGTTTGGGAGTGGTGTTGGATTTAGGGCCGACGGGTCCGCGTACTCAAATAGTACTTATTCTGGCCCGCAAGAACCCACATAGAGACTACTCGAAATTCAGCCGAAGTAGATGTGAAATGAGTATGCACGGACCCGTGGCTATAAGTGCACGAACTCTTGGCTGAGTCACCTTGGCACGCCCTGGCCTTCTGGGTCAGGCTCGAGTTCGGCAAGTGTGCGGTTATGCGGATATTTGGTAAGGGCTTTAAAGCTTGGGGTGTAGGGTTCGGGGTTGCAACATTTTTTTGCTGTGCAGATCAGGGTTTTGAGGTTTAGGATTTCGGGCTTACCAAGCCCGAACCCTACTAACCCCACCTTGATTACTCGGATCCTAATGTGCGTGGGGGACTACGGTTTTAAAGTTCTGAGTTCAGGGTGTTCTGATCATCGGACCACGCACTTCGCACTTCACCGAGCCACAGAACCCCGTGGCTGGGAAGACCCCCGTTGATCACGAACCCTACCGACAGAACGTCACCTGCTTTACAAGGAGCCACGAGACCCTTCACCATAAAGCGTTTCATTTCGAAGGCCTTTACCCCGGAACCCAAGCGACTTGGTTGAATCCAACAGTGCTCGAGTGCAGACGCTAAAACCTTCTGACATGAGTTAACGAGAGACCGATACTATCTTCAGACCGTGCCTGACGCAGCCAGAGAGTGAGCGAAGCATCCAAAACAGCAGCCAATAACATGAACACGCATAGACCCTAGATGCAGCAGCATATTCACAAAAAAGAAATTCGAAGCCCTGATGATCTAGTGACTAGTGCGAGCTCGTCCTGGCGAAGTAGGAGGCAAGACACTTAAATCCTAAGCCACGCCTTGGGCGAGTATGCGAGTCTGACACCTAAACCCCTAACCCCTCAAACCCATCTGTGTGAATACGTGTGTGTTGATACTGGGATTTTGATCCTGAGATGTGTCTTGCTTGAAAGTCTCCCATGCGAAGACTCCTACTGGAGTGAACTTGTTCTGATATGAAAAGCGTCAGCTGCTTGCGAAAAATTCGCCAGTAAGCCAACTGGTACCCTGCTAAGTGACTCGCCCAGCAACAAACCCTAAACCCCTAAACCCTATAAGCCCTAAACCCTTAAACCCTATACACCCTATAAGCCCTAAACCCAATAAACCCTATAAACCCTAAACCCTAAACCGCAATAGAAAACAGAAAAAGCCGGACTCTTCGCCTCCTAGGTCATGCCTCGTCGATTTGAGCTCGCTGCCGCGGTCAACCGCCTCCGCACTGTGCAGCAGGGGCGCCCGGTATGACCGTCCCTAGGGATCAAAATAGCCCGAAAGCCTTATGTAGTATGGTCTTTGGGCATACGAGTCCTTAGATCCGCAGGGTACAATTCTTGACATTGCTCGAAAATCTATAAGTACTGTTTTAAAATACAGGCTAATAATTAATTACTCTAAGTGCTTCGGGCACAAGGGGTTTAGGCAGGGTGCAGGGGTAGAGGGTTCTTTTTAGGATTTGGGAATTCAAGGTTCGGGCTTACGAGTGCGATGTGTTGCAGGGAACCTGACCGGGGGAGCTCCGATCAAGCCTGTGTAAAACAATAATGGTTCAATAGTGTAAAAGGATATGGGATCTTTTCGGGAAGTGAAGGTTTAGGGTGGAGGAAGGTGGTTTATGGTCTTAGGAGATGGCCTGTGCATGGAATGTGGAACTCTTTGCAGGGACTGCTGGCATACGTAGAACTTGGAAGGATCACATCTAATCGGGGCTGCTTTTCTTTAGCATTCCATATCTCTGATCCGATTCTAAAGTTCCGGGAGAACACTCTCTTACTGTTGGTGGCTGAACCCAGGAAATAGCCGAGCTCCCATCGTTGCAGTTCACTCCGTATCGTCCGGTCCGAATCATTGCAGTCCAACCGTGTACTACAGGGATTGGAACCTGTACCGTATAGTATTTCTTGCTCAATATCACCTGTCATGTGATATAAACGAATACCTGCATGGATACAGAGCAGGAGGCTTGGGTATAGTTATTAGTATGACCACACAATAAGGTTAATATGTACCCCAAAACGCCAGGCTCTCATCATGAAGGCCCGTACATCACAATCCAACAAGGTCTCCATAGGATTCTTTTGCCGGAAGCTGTCGAGGATGGTCGCCGACAGCAGCAATGGTGACAACACCGCCTGGTGATGGGGAATTTTGGGGTTTAGGCTTCAGGGACATTAGCTGCGGTCCACCTACTGCGGTAGTCTCTGCAGCTGCGGGGCACCTACTGCTGTAGTCTCTGCAGAGCCGGCGATGTGTGCGAGCAAAAGGGACTGAAGTTGCAGCCTGTCGGGGAGATTGAGACTTAAAGCCTCCTGGGTTCTGTTTGGTAGCCCTAAACCTTACGAAGCCGAAAAGCCCACCTTAAGCCTTGTACATCCTATGCGCCCGGAGCCCTGATTTTAGAATCCCCTTTTCCCCAATTCGGTCCTCTTCCCTGCAATGTCATAAACTTAGCTCGGATGTTTGTCTTTCGGGGCTGTTAGGTGACCTTTGAACTTTTCGGTGTATGTAGATCATAATAAAAAGGCTTCACATTTTTGAGATGTGACGAGGGCGCTCAGCCGCGAGAGTGGGGGATTCAAGATTTCCTTTTTGGGCTCTTCAACCGTTTGCTGTGCCGGTTCCGAGACGAAGCCCTGAAAGAAACCGAAGCCCTGTGGTCAGGCCCTCGATCGTGGTCCCATTTTATGGCTGCCTGGATTTGTGTAACCATGAGGCTGCCAAACCAAGAGTAAGAGAGGAGCCGAATTGGGCAGTGCAGTGTAGTCATGCCCTAACTTGCGAAGAAAGTTCCAAAGCAGATCTCCGAGTCGGGACTTGCGCCGGAGGAGTGGGCACCTCCGAGACAGCTCATGGTCACAGCCTTCGGCGCCCAGCTTGAGGAATCAGTTTGTTCGTGTTACCAGTTTCGGCAGTAGTAGCAGGGTGCGTACTTCCACGTGCCGTGCACAGCCTCATTTTTCGGATAAGCTAGCAACATCGAAAACTATCGCTGGGACCGTTGCAAGTCCCATCTACGTAGGTTTCGTGATGCGTGGGTTTGTCTCGAGATCTGGTTCGCTTGCTCCGTGGCTTTGTAGGATCATGCGGACCCCTGGGCTTATCCTCGATCCTCAGAGGTTTCATCGAAAGGTTAGTTAGTAATCCGAGCGAAATTTGTGTATGCTTGTCTCATGGCAATCATAGCCACAAGGATGAGATGAATGAACCCGAAGCCGAACCCAGGTGACCATCATCCAGCGATGCTAGATTGTGAGGGGTCGGGCAACTCAGACGTTTGGGCTTTCTTGATCCTTTGCGGGCCCGCTTTTGGGCGCAGACTTGTAGGAAAACTCAGCTGCGGTCTTGGGGTGAGTTACAGAACCGTGGAGTCGTGACGACAGAGGAGAGCCCTGATAAGAGCCTTTGTATACGTTGTGCTAGACTTTGGCTCGAAAGTTTGATTCCCCAGGGGCACGGCTAACTTGACTACCCACTGGTTTCGGTCGCCATTGGGCGCTAGAAGAGGTGTAGCCCGTGCAACAAGCACCACCAAGGCTGCTGCAGGCAGCTGCCGCGAAATTGGGAACCGATCTCAGGTTTGTGGATGCAACGCATGTTTCTGCCGCCGTTGCAGCATAGAAGCCTGCAGGAGGCAAATCTTCTGCCTTGTCCTTGCTAAGTAGGAGGGAAAAAGGTCACCTAAATAGTAGGTTACTGGTGTATAACATATGGTTATGGTACCCTACTCTTCTACTATTTCTAGCTGGAGGCTGGAACCCTAGTCTAAGGTACATCGGTCGTGGGCCAACGAGTGGAAGTAGCCCCAAGTTTATCCGCTTCATCCCGCCACACCTGCATAGACCAATACGTCGAACATGTACAGGTGAGCGCTCAATGAGAAGATCGCGAGATAGTTTAGTGTATGATATGGCGAGTTTCCGAATAAAGGGGATCCTAATATAGTTCCCTAAATGGGAGGATCCCTTTTATAAGGACCCCAACATAAGGTACCCCTAATTTTCGGGGAAACTCCTCTATGCCAGCGTCAGATTCTCGACTCCCTGGGCTCCACCAGAGCAGCCTGATCGAAGTGACAGCCCCAAGAGTCTTGAATACCTATATCACGGTTTCTTAAAAAGGGTGTAGGGTTTATAGCCTATATCGTAGAATGTATATAGGGGTTCTATAGTAGGAGCTACTAGCATGATTTGGGAAACTATCCCCCATAACGGTACCTAGGACTTTGGGCAAGGGCTCGACGCTTCACTTCCTGATCTTGGGGTCTGTAGGGGCGCTGACTTCAGCATGTTACATAATACAGGGGCCTAAATAATTCCCAATACTCTTTTGGTGGTTCCTTATTACAAATATGGTCTAATATACCCCAAAACCCAAACCCTATTCAATACTAGTTTGGGGGCTTTTGATCGTGATTATGGCATAATATGCCCCAAACCCTCTTCTAGCACCCTACTCTAGATCCCCGAAAGACCCCGTTTAAAGGACCCCTTTAAAGGAACCCTATTCAGATTCTAAAGACCCTTATATTACAGAACCCTATATAGATCCCTTATAGACCCCTTTAAAGGAACCCTTAAAGGAACCCCTAGTCTTACATAAGGCCACTATATTATACTGCTCGGGGAAACATGTCTGGGCTCTAGATCCCCTTATACACCCTTTAAAGGACCCTTTAAAGGAACCCTATATAACCTAAACCCTAAACCCTTTAAAAGGACCCTTTAAAGGAACCCTATATTACAGAACTCTATTATAGATCCCTTAAAGGACCCTTTAAAGGAACCCTATATTACAGAACCCCATTATAGATCCCTTAAAGGACCCTTTAAAGGAACCCTATATTGCGTTGATTTGGGCCAAGACCGAGGCCTTCTTCCGCTCGAGGTGGCTCGTGCCGGAGGCCTCGCAGTCGTGTGGGAATCCTGAGTTCTAGGTTCAGGGTTAGTTTAAAAAAGTTCAGGGTTAGTTTAAGAAAAAACATTCAGGGTTAGTTTAGGGTTGGGGGTAAAGGGCTGAGGGTTGAGGGTTAGTTTGGGGTTCAGGGTTTAGCTGTCCTGGCGTGACGTTGCAAGCCAGTTGCAAAAAGGGTAGATGGGAGAGCTTCGCTGCCGGCATACACTCCAAGTCCGTGCTTTAAAAGGGTAGATGGGAGTTTCCGGAAACAGGGTTTAGGGCTCATCTTAAAGAGCCCCCAGAAGGATTACTATAAGGTATCCATATGGGTACGATAAGGGGGTTTCCGAAAATGGTGGATCCAAATTTAGCACCTTAAGTACAGTAGTAGGACCCTTGTTATAAGGAGCCCAAAAAAGGCATGGCCGTGGCATGTAGCCTTAGGGCAAGCCCGCATGAGAAACCTCGCGTAGAAACACATGCAGAGAGCTCTCCTTGTCCAGGCTGCATGGCATAATATAGGGGCCAAAATAATTCCCTATGCTATTTTGGGGTTTCCACATTATAATTAGAGTATCATGGGCCCCGAAACCCTATTCGAATTAGAAAACTCCCCTATACTATAGTACCCTCATGGTTCCCTGTAAAAAGGGGTTTCAAGACTTCGCGTCTCATCAAAAGCCCCAAACCACTGATTCCAAGAGCCAGTCCGGCCCTGGATGTATTACAAACCAGAAGACTGCAAAATCGAGACATAGGCTAACGGTGGAAATGCATATTCAGCATATTCATGAATCGTAATCATCAGGTTCCCTACTACTGGTAACGTACACTTCCTAGCGCACCCAACCATTGGGAGTTTGAAAAAAAGGGACCCTAATATAGTACCCTAAATAGTAGGATCCTTATTATACGGACCCCAAAATACCCCTACTTATTGGGTACTTTAGCCTTGCAAGCAAGTATTATTCCGAGATCCACGCCATGGCTGGCCGTGCTTCCCGACAGCTGGCGCAAATTCAGGTTGGAGTTTTGACGTACCCATGGGCTCCATAGCAGTTCCTTTTTGGTATTACTTTATAGGATTTTACATATGAGCCCCAAAAAGGAACTACTACGGAGCCTCTAGGTACTAGCTACTTGTAGTAAGGATGGGAACTGTAGGTTTAAGGTTTAAGTTTCGCAGTTACAGAAAGCTATGCTTGAAGGGTTGGGTATAGGGCTCATGAATCAGCGAAGGTTCGCAGAGGACGGTTTCAGAGTTGCGAGCTTGGGACTATGCTTTTTTCGGTGTGGCATGCTGCATGCAGGAATTGCCTAGGGATTTGAGGGTCATCTTTATGTAGCTTGGGGACTTGATGCAACAGGAGCTACTGTGTTGCTTTTGCGCTTTGCAGCAAGCTCCTGCAACTACCACCACGACGATGACGACGACTGCAACTACCACTAGCACCATACCACTGCTACTACTACTACTACTACTACTGCTGCTACTACTACTACTACGACGACGACGACGACGATGCCGACCACAAGGACGGGTAGGACTGGGACTAGCACCGGCCTGCTCCTGGTGCTGCTGCTGCCCCTGCTGCTGCCCCTGCTGCTGCTGCCGCTGCTGCTGCTGCTGCTAGACCACCACCACCGCTACTACTTAACTTCCCACAAATAGAAATTGCTGCTAGATCGTCGAACGGAGAAGTTACTCCGCGGGGCTGCCACAGGTATCAAATCCGACTGCGCTACCACTGCCGACACTGCGACGTCATCATCGTCATTGCTTGTTCGTCACGTGTACCATGACCGGCAGCAGCAGCCCTCGCCGCAGCATCAGCCATCATACTACGCAACAGCTTCCACTGCATATCCTCAACCTTGCGCTGCTAAGCCTGAAACTAACCGTGATTCCCCAGACAGTGACAGGCCGGCTTAGCGCGGGCCGCGGCGCCGCGCCTGCCTGGCGATCGGCGTGCAGTGGTGGCCTGCCTCTTTGCTGCAAAGGTGTGAGGGAAGAAAGCATGCATGTCAACAGATTTTTTGTGCAGCAATGCATTTACGTGTGTTTCTGCACGTATGCACGCGTGTCTTTATGTATGTAAGCATGCAGCATGCAGGTATGCATTTAGGTTTATGCGTCCGTATGTGCTTCTGCATGTGTGCGTGTCTGCACTCTTGCATGAGTTCTTCATGCATGCAGGTGCATGTGCGAGTATCTTGTCTGTCGGTCGGTCGGTCTGCTTGCCCGCCTGACTGGCTGCCTGTCTGTCTCTTTGTAAGTTGGTGGGCAGGCAGGTAGGTAGGCATATAGGTAGGTCGGTAAGCAGATAGGTAGGTACATAGGTAGGCAGTTGTAAATGCATGCATGCATGCACGCCGGTATGCATCTGTGCCTGTATTCTGGATGTACATGTGCATGCATATGTGCATGTATATGTGTACCTTTGCATGTGTAGAGGTTTGTCTATAGGTATGCATATATATATATATGCATGTATGTATATGTATATGTTTGTGTGTGTGTGTGGATATATATATATATATATATATATGTTTGTTTGTATTCTATGTGCGTATTTGTGCATGTGTTTATTAGGCATTCATGCAGCCGTGCGTGCGGCACAGCATGAAACATGCTTTAAGCAGAGTCCCCGCAGTGGTCGTGTTGGCTGCCGGGAACAGAGTACTAACGTCGAAGTTCTAAACTCATAGTTTCCCAAGCCCGCCCAAGTCTTCAAAGCATAGAACCCTTGTTTCGACCACCTTGAACACTTTCAACATGCCTTCTTACACTTCGATCCCGTATAGTGCTGCAGGTCTAGATACCAAGATCACGGGGATATCAAGACTGTGAGCACTCCCCATCTGCAGATCCTCCAATACCCAGAACTGCGAGGCCTTCTTCGACAGGGAGGGCCGGAGAGCATGCCGGCAGAATAAGTCGTTCAGCTCGCCAGTTTCCGGCTTCTTTGCGCTTTTTCTGTGATTATTACGGAAGGCTTCTCCAAAGTCTTAGCAATCCTAGCAATGAGACTAGGGTGCTGGGATATGTCATGGTGCATATTTAGGGATTTGAATTATCACTTCAGCCTGATGGCAAGGACAATGTTGATGATTGTATAGGACCATGTGCTTATGGTGAGATTTGCAGTAAATTCCGCTTAACTAGCGTTGATTATGTTCTTCCGAATTTCCTGTTTGTGCGACAGGCTCTTGACAGCCAGGTTTCATTGGTACAAGTACAGCAACGGCAATGAGCGTCCTGACGGTGAGAATCCTTGTTACATCAGGTGTTGATGTCTTTTTCATACTGCGCGCCCTCTCTCCGGCTACGTCGGGTGCGGCGGCACGCTGGTCCGGACAGGCCCGGTTGCGTGGTAGGTTTCAATCAATGCGCTCTTCGTGCTCGTCCATCTGCCTGCTGTACACGGCCCTAAACCCTGAATCCGAAAGCTCTCAAAACTGAAGCTGTTCTCAGCGGTAGTGAGGACTATATTCCTTTTGAAGGGAATCCTGGCCTCAACATACCAGGATTTTTTGGCAAGGGTCTCTGAGTTAAGTGTCTGATACTTCATGCTAGAGTCTCGCTTGGGAAGCCAAAAGTTTCCCTAAACCCTTGAGCGCCGAAACCCGCTTTTTGGGTTCAAGGACGGAGGTGAGTGTTTGAATACTTCGCGATTCCTGTATAATTACATGGAAACAACTGATTTCCATTTCACGATAAGCACTTTTAAGTTAGCTGTGCGCCATAGTTGCATTGCTGCTGGAAGGGATATGTGGCGGAGTGCACTGAGGCGCGGAGAGCGAGACCTTTTACATGGAAGTTTCGGAGGCTTTTTCCATTCCGAAGCTTTACCTGGTGCGCTGCCCCGAAGGCAGAACTCGCCACAGCATCCACCTTATGGCCTGTACCCGGAACTTGTGTCCGGTTCGGCGTTCACCGTCCCCAGAGCGAAGAACCGCTATGCTTGGTTGTATCGAGTTCGGCCGTCCGTCCAGCATTCGGCGCCAGCGGCCGCAGACTACCAGCTGTGGGCCCACGACACTTGGGTGAGCCCTCCCTTTCGGCATCCTTGTCCGCCAGTCCAGCTGCGTTTTCGAGCGTGCCCGATTCCGCCTCAGGGCACCGACTTCGTGGAAGGGGCGGTCACGGTGGCAGCAAATGGCTCTCCTGAAGCCCAGGATGGGTGCAGTGCGAACACCTACGCAATCACGGCCTCTATGCTTACCTTTGGTTAGTAGGGAATGGAAGAATGGTAGATGATAGCAGCTATGACTAGCAGCTATGATTGTACCCTTAATCCTAAACCTAAACCCTATAATCCTATAAGCCCTAGACCCCCAAACCCTATAAGCCCTACTAACCCAAGGCCTCCATGTCCTGCAAGCGGCGGTTCCTTCGAGTCGTGGACGGCGACGTCTTGCTGCTTCCGCAGGAGGGCTCTTTGAGACTGCGAACTGAGATGGGTCACTTCCAGGTGGGAGTCTCCGAAAATAGGGGACCCTAGTATTGGGTCGAGAAGTGGCACAAAGTATGGGGTGGTTGTCAAAATTTAGGTCCCTGTTTAAATCCCTATTTTTATGCGGCACCTTTATTTTTTAGGGTGCCCAAAAAGGTACTTTAATTTTGACAACCACTTAAATAGTACCCTAAATAGTAGGATCCTTATCATAAGGACCCGAAGGTACCCCTAATCTTCGGAAACTCCCAGGTGGACCCGTGGGAGCTCGCCGTGCTGCCGCGAGGCCTCGCTTTTCAAGTCGACTTGGCGCCCGGGACCACGGCCGCCCGGGGGTATTTTTTGGAGAACTTCGGTGACCACTTCGTTGTGCCTGACCTCGGCCCGATTGGCATCTCTGGTGGTCTAGCCCACCCGCGCCACTTCCTAGCACCTCAGGCCCAATACGAAGATCAGGATGGCGAATATGAGTTGGTCTCCAAGTTCATGGGTTCGCTGTACCGTTCTCCGCTCAGACACTCGCCACTTGACGTCGTTGCTTGGTATGGGA